TCACCCATGCCTCCCACTGCAAATGGCTCTGGGCTTGTGATGCCACCCATGTATTGGCAAGGATATTATGCCCCATCTAGCGGGCTTCCTCATTTGCAACAACCATCATTACTCCAGCCTCCAGGACTGCCTATTCCTCATGCCATGCAGCACCCCTTTCAATATCCTGGAATAAATCCATCTTTACCATCTGGATCCCCAACTTTGTCGGAGCTTCCTCCTATGTATCCACATACTAGTGCTAACCCAACTCTAACCTCTAGTCCATTGCCATCGATGTTGGATCCAGCTTCAACGAACATGTTATCTGTGGAAGCATCATCAACTCTGTTTCCTGATAAATCTCCTGCTCCATCATCTGTCAGTCTTAGTGTGCCTTTGGTGCCTCCCTTGACTTTTAATCTTGAGAAAACTGTGGCCACACCTCAGAGTACTCCTGTTGTCGGTAGCAAGCCTAGTACAGTACCTGGTTCAACATTGGCATATGGATCTGTTTCAGAACCAGTACCCGCTGTTGTTTCATCTAGTTCAAGCCAAGTAGAAAAACCAGTAGCCATAGAGACACAAAATCATTCACTGCAGACTGGCCACCCGTTGCTTCCTTCCTCCCAGCCCATGCAGACAAGCCATTCAGATGCTGATGCTAAAGCGCTTGAAGATATGTCCAAGGCATTCCCTGAACCATCGTCTAATGTGACAGCTGAAGCCAACGAGCCGATATTGCCATTGCCAAAATCAACTCTGCGTAAGGTATGCTGGTTACATAGCATAGAATGTGGAGACATGGTGACATGCAACCCATTTGACACTTCAGCTGCTAAAAATTTACTGTCTCAAGGCATTCTATATTTTGTTAATTCTTTTTCTTAGAGATAATACACGATATGCATTTAACGCCAATGCATGTTGTATGTCCAGCCAAATGGAACTGCTTCACACCATTCTTATAATAGGGGTCGTGGAAGAGGAAGAGGAAATGAGGTACCTAATTTTTTTTTCTTTTGCTATAGACTCGACTACTGGCATATTGTTTCTGTCCCATTTTCTTAGGAAATGAGCTACTTGGAGATCTTTGAATAATGTTGCATACAATTTATCCCTGTATGCTTCTCAGAATTGCTTTTGTTGGTTCCCTTCCCTCTTATAAAATTAGATAGTAGAAACAACACGATGAAAGCAAATTTTTGTCTATGTTTTTGCCTCGCCTTTTAGGCCATAACTACTAGGGAAAGGTTTCCCTTGCTGATAAGCTCTTTGGAGGCTAATGTAACTTGTTTACATGGTTATATAATGAGTACAACTTATTTTCAGGAAAGAATGCATGTGTGTAGTTCTTGTGCTTCTTACCTAATTAACCCCCTCGACATAATATCAACTCCACCTCAATATTATATTGGACTCAGTTGGTCTATTTCACATGTATGTCCAAGAGGTATTCTCTTCATTCCAGAAGATGCATTGCTATTATTACCATTGTATTTGCAGTGTTACATCATTATGTTTGTTTCCAGAAACTACTACTAGGATTACTAATGCATTTTCATTAAGATGCTTGTTTTCCCTGAAAAGGATTGCACATTAGCATTCACGAGACCTTTTCTTTTTCCTCTTGATGTATCATATGTAAGCACTTGTTGTCGGGCGATGCAGTACTCGCGCCGTGTGACGAAGTTCACTGAAGACTTTGATTTTATGGCAATGAATGAAAAATTCAACAAAGATGAAGTCTGGGGTCATCTTGGCAAAAATAAAGCCCATTTAGGGGACAATGATGGAGAACTACAAGAAAATGAAATTGATAATGATGTGGAAGAAGATGAAGCTCCAAAGATTGAGATCAAGGTAATCAAAGTCCATTTATGAGATTTCCTGGTGTTTGTCATTGGTTATCTAGTTACATTGTTTTCCTGTGGATATATCAGTGTGCTTTTCTCTTTAACTTCACTGATTGGTTTGCTTTGTCTCATTTAAGCCTGGTTATGTTAAGGATGATTTCTTCGATTCACTTTCCTGCACCACCCTTGATTGGGGAACTCGGGGTGGGAGGACCAGATTTTCAGAGCAGTTGAAGATAGACACTGAGGTAAATAGGAGTTTCTAAAGTGATCGTGTTGCCATCATCTAACGAAGGTTTATGAATTTAGTTATGCCTTTTCTCTATGCAGACCTTTGGTGATTTTGCAAGGCATCGACCAGGCCGAGGGGGTGGGCATGGCCTTCGAGGGGGTGGGCGTGCTCGAGGGTCTTACCGTGGAAGGGGATATGGATACACTGGCAGGGGCCGTGGTTATGGTCAGCCACATCATGCCTCTTGAGGAGCAAAATTTTCATACTAAGCTGAAGTGGTCATCATGCATTGAGCTATGCTCGGAATGTAATTGTAGTTGGAGTTTTGCTTTGATGCATCACTATCTGACTATTGTTGCTCTGTAAGCAAGCAGTAAGCAGCCACGAGACGCCAGGGGCTTTTCATTTCTGATGCTGAGCAAAGTATGGTTGATCTGGTCCCGATGCATCATTTGTTGTAACAGTTGTAACCATCTTCCTGCAAAGTTTGTCTTCAGTTTGCTGGAAATGCTTTAGGTTTTCAGCATTGGTCCGTTTCTTTTTGTGTTAGAAAGAGTGGGTGCTAACTGAGAGCTTGATGTTAGTCATAGACCAACTCGGTGCTTCTTGGCAATTTGGCAGGAGGTTGTTTTTTGTTTTTTTGTTGTCTCCTTTTGTTTTCGTTTTTGTTGTATATGCTGCTCATATGTTAATATGTTTTCGTTTTTGTTGTTTATGCTGGCCATATGTTAATAAACTAACTCGGGGCTTCGTTAGTATGCTGCCCGTATGATTGGCAGATTGACATATGACATCTACTTACCTAATGGTAGATGTCAAGGGAACGAGGTGACGATGTTGTACTATATCTTTGAATTATACATAGTGCATGGCTCTTGGTTTAGCGTTGATGTAGCAATTATTAGTTGTCGATTCGCTGTGTCTACGAGACATATGATGGATGATGAGGTTCTCCGGGGGCAGACCTTTCTTTCTCGCCCCTTCTCAGACTTCGGAGGATGTCCGGCGATTGGTGAACGCTTTACGGCCACTAGAATGACTGCAGCGTAAAGGATAAAGAATTATGTGGTTGTCATTTAGTGGAACAAGTCAGAAGGGAAAACACCTCTCTCTCTGATTTCGGGTGGCTTGTCTCCCTCCAAACATAAATTTGCCACCAGACTTGTGGTATCGACTTATCCCAATCAGCCTACACTTACGAAACATGATTACAGCTGCAGTCACCGAAATTATTCGTATGGAAAATAGTATGATCACGATGGCCAATTAATGCACTCAACATCCACAGAGGCATACGATCTAAATGCACTACTACCTCGTCTGGTGGAGAGTGGTGTCAAATATGCACCACTGATACATATATAAGAAACCAACTAATTTTAGAATTATGTATGTATATATATATATATATATATATATATATATATATATATATATATATATTAATATCATCACAGAGAGTTAAGGCATCTGATTGGCTTGTTAAGAGAAAAATGGACATCGGATCGGACGTCAAATCTGAAAACTAACACAGAATGGTTGGATTATTATAATCCACAGGGAGTGAGTGGTGTTGAATGGTCGATGCTGTCGACCTCATTATTGATTGAGAACCAACCGACCATCACATGAAAGTGGGTCCTCAAGGGAAGAAGATGAATCCATAGGGCATCGGTTGACAGTCTGTGGCTGAGGAGCTCACCCAATGCTCGTCTTTCATTATCGTTTTCATCTTCATCGAGTTCAGCCCCCACGCCATTCCATTCCTGAATCCGATCGATGCACACCCAGCGCAGCATCGCGTGTTATTTTTACCCACCCATCTACGTGCATGAGGTCGGTTCCTTGACCTCATCGTGGGCCCCACACGGCTGTTCCACGTGGTATAAGGAAGTATTTGCACTCGAATTTTTCTTTGGGCAAATTCTTAAAAAACAAAAGGTCAGTTTTCAATTTTTTTTAATTTTTCTTCTAAAATAAAGACGACATGTGCTTTCGTCCATCATCGTCGCTTCCACTCCGTCGCGCTTGGTTATGAGTCCACAAAGATGGTGATGAGAGCAAGCACATGAACGAGAATGAAGACTATGACCCTACTCGGAGAGACTTTATATAGATGGAGATGATAACCATGTCGAGGAGTGAACGAAGACTAGAGATAATCTTATCATTTAAAAATTAAGAGTTGTTCCACAAAACAAGAAAAAAGAAATTATCGCTCATGCGACCAAACTTATATGAATTTATCCTTTTTATATTTTGATAGAAATATTCTAAAGTATTATAATATTTATAACAAATCAATGTGGGCGCTATATTCAATCTCTATCACGGAGAAATCAAAGTGTTTATACTTTTTCATTTTTTAATTAAATTTAACATAAAATTATAAATAAAAAAAATAAACCTAATCCATTGACAATTATGTCTACTCTTTTGACCTTTAAATTTAATTTAGTCAACACGGATTTTTTATATTTATTTTCTTAAACAACACAAGTCAAAAATTTGATATTTATTTAATCAAAATCTTTTTTCTATGTTTCTTTTTGATACGTTTAAAATTATATTTCAAAAACATTTTTTTCTAAAGCACATGGATTATTATAAAGAGGAAAAATTGCATCATCTCTTCTACAAAGATAATAATGGTTGCATCGACAACGTAATCTCCCGTGCATATATATATATATATACATAGAGAGAGAAAATATAATCCATATTCAATTAAGAGTCATATTCAGTAGGAAATATGTGAGGCATATTTTATAGTTTCTTAATAGGAAAGAAATTGTTTTCTTTCCATACTTTAAGATTTATAATATTATTAGGAAACGTATGAAATTATAGAAATATAGAAACATTGCGTTAAATTATCCCCACAGATTCAACATATTTACACGACTAGTGAGTCTCTGGCCACCCAGGGTGGTAGATCCATTGCGCAGACAGCACTCGGTGAATGGGAAGCGAGATGAACGAGGGTTAGGGTAGGGGGGGCGGAGACGGACAGAGAGACGGGGCGGTCGTTCGTTGCTGCTTCGATCCGCCGCCACCGTAGCCTAAGCTTCTCCATCGACGCCGCTGACGCCGGCCTTTATATGGGGGGAGGAGCTCTCGTGGACGGCGTCCGTCGCTGGTTCCAACGCCGCTCGCACCGTTCCTCCACCGCTGCCTCCTCCACTCTCTCGACCGACGATTCCGCCTACGACGAATCGGGCGAGGTGGAGGAGGACGACCAGCTCCGGATCGTCGAGGACTTGGACCTCATCGGTCTTCCGTACATCCGAGTCCCCAAGCGCTTCAAGATGCCGCCGATCGGACAACCCTACAAGAAGGTTCGCTTCCCGTCCCCTTCCGATCCAAAAGCTATGAAGTTTATAGCGATTTCTTTTGGCGGAATCTTGGGTTGACACCGCCAACATCGCTTGTTTCGTTTAAGAATATTTGATCTTATCGTCCCTCGATCTTAGTTTGTGGTTGACGAATAAGCATATTTGTAATTATTAGCTCCTCTTGTTTTCAAGAAAATAGATCGTTTGGGTATTCCTATCGTTGCAATCAAAAGCGCGAGGCTCTTTTCATTTCGATTCATAACCTGTCTACCAGACATCTTATCTGGTCCGAGGCTGGTTTCCCCACAAACTGTTTCACCAGAAAGAAAAAAGAAATTAAAATCGTAAAATAAGTCCAATATCTGCTTTCTTCTTTCGTAACCCTATCATTCCAAACATTCCAAGTGTCTGATACGGTGCCCTTAGTTTGGAATTCATTGCGTGGCGAGGAAGATCCTATTTGACTGAGTATACTTGTCATTCCTCTTTGATCATTACCATATATAATTGTCCAGATTTACCTTAATTAAATTGTCAACCACGCAGAGCATGCTTGACACCGAGTTCTTCACTGAGTATGGTGAAGCCAGCCAATATCAGATTCAAGAGGTTATCGGCAAGGGAAGCTATGGGGTGGTCGCTGCTACTGTTGACACCCACACAGGAGAGAGGGTTGCCATTAAGAAGATCAACGATGTCTTTGAGCATGTCTCCGATGCCACTCGCATCCTCCGGGAGATCAAGTTGCTCCGGTTGCTACGACATCCTGATATTGTTGAAATAAAGCATATAATGCTTCCACCATCTAGGAGAGAATTTAAAGACATTTATGTTGTTTTTGAGCTAATGGAGTCAGACCTTCACCAAGTTATTAAGGCCAATGATGATCTCACTCCAGAACATTATCAGTTCTTCTTGTACCAGCTTCTTCGAGCTTTAAAGTATATCCATACAGGTACCCTTTTTTTTCTTTTCTTTATCTTGACTATCATACATCGCTCTCCATTTAATGCCATAATATCAATGCAATGAATTATTTGGCATATTGCAGCAAACGTATTCCACCGTGATTTAAAGCCCAAGAACATACTTGCTAATGCGGACTGTAAATTGAAAATTTGTGACTTTGGACTTGCTCGTGCATCATTTAATGATGCTCCATCAGCTATTTTTTGGACTGTATGTACTCTATCTGACTGTACACTTTAGTCCTTGGTTGTCTGCTGTTTTGGTAATTGATTCTTTGTGCTTTTTTGCTTCTTCAACACATTTGTGTTGTCTGCATGTGTCCTTAGAGTTTGTTGATTGTAATCTTAGAGTTCATTGTCTATGTTTTTTTTTCTCTTTCCAGGATTATGTAGCGACTAGATGGTATCGTGCCCCAGAACTATGTGGTTCTTTTTTCTCCAAAGTAAGACTTTTCTCTTTTAGAGCATTGAGTAATTCACCTGAACAAACATAGTTTTACCTAATTGTGACATCTTTTTGAGGTCTAACTATAAAAATTCTTTGTTATGCATTTTATCATCAGCAGTTGCATGTTATTGTTAATGTAAGTTTGTAAGACTATAAGAATATGTTGACGAATTTTTGTTCTTGCTGTCAGGATTTTTTCTGCTTTTATTGTTACTTTTTTTTCTCTTTTTGAGTCATCTTTACTAAGAATAGTGCAATATACTATCTCGAGTTTATTTTAGTGTATCTTGCATCTCTTTGCATATATATATTATATAACAAATCAGCGAACTGTGCTACTTATGCTAATGTCCCTTAATCCTATAAATTATGATTTTTATTATCCATGAAATGCATATCTAAAACTTTATACCTTTCCTATGATTTATTGCTGAACATCAGCAAACTAAACTTTTAGTTTTATGCTTCACTAGATTGTACACACTTAAGATGATTGACCTGTTATACTTTGCTTTTTTTTGCAGTACACACCAGCAATTGATATTTGGAGCATTGGCTGTATATTTGCAGAAATGCTAACTGGGAAACCGTTGTTTCCAGGAAAGAATGTGGTACATCAGTTGGACATCATGACTGATCTACTTGGCTCACCTTCTGCCGAAACCATTGCTAGGGTTTGATCAACATCTCTGTCTCTAGACTCTCTACATTAGTTTCTATTCTCTCCCTCAGAAATGCACTGTGATTGTTATAAATATTTCTTATTGAACATATTGTCTAAACAAGTAACTGGGTTTCTAGTAATGAAAAGTCTACCCCTTGTGGGGGTAAGATTGTGAACATTGATCCTTCCAAGACCCGGTCTTGATGGAGCTTGTGCACTTTCTTTTAAAGATCAATCTTGATAATAAAATGCTTGGCTTCCTTTTTTACATATGATTCTATCTAACATTTATCCCAAATCGTATTTTCAATTAGGCTGCTTTGTAAAACTTAACTATGGTATCCTACTATCATTTGATGTTGAATGCTGAGGGATATGTGGAATGAGAGAAGATGAAGAGTTGACAAAAAGAGGAGAGACACTAGTATTTGGTAATTGTAATCATTCTAATGCTCGACTTGTAAGCCACTAGTTCAGTTATGCAAAGAGTTGAGCTCATAGTGTTTGTATTATTAGAGTGTAAGGTCAATGAGATGATTAATTTTAACCTACAACCTTGATAATCCTGTAGCATATTTACTAAATATTTTTCTCATGATGATGAACTCCTGATCTTTCAAAGTTTTGGATTATAGAGAAGCGCATAATTGTTGATCTCAAGTGATGGTAGGTAGATTATTTATTAGTTTATATTCAAATAAGACTGGAACTTCGTGGAAAAGCAGTGTTCAGCTTTCTTGATCAATATTTACTGGAAAGAATAATGTGAGCTTGCATGTTTTAGCTGTTTTCCTGAATCATTTTATATGTTACACTGCATAATTTTGGTTCAGCTGTCTTTGGGCTCATGCATTATCTTTTCTTCCCTTAATTATATCTTAGATTCGAAATGAAAAAGCAAGAAGATATCTTAACAGCATGCGGAGAAAATCACCAGTTCCTTTCTCGCACAAGTTTCCAAATGTAGATCCATTGGCATTACATCTATTGGAGCGTCTACTAGCATTTGATCCAAAAGATAGACCAACGGCAGAAGAAGTAAAAAGCAGCAACTTATACCTTATCTTTCAACTAATTAACAATGCTAAGAACACAGATTTAATATGATATTGGTGTTGGTATGTTTCAGGCTTTAGCAGATCCATACTTCCGGGGTCTAGCAAATGTGGATCGTGAACCATCAACACAACCTATCTCTAAACTTGAATTTGAGTTTGAAAGGAGGAAATTGGCAAAAGATGATGTAAGAGAATTAATTTATAGAGAGGTATGTTACTATAGTCTGATAAATCTTTATTGCCATCTTTACTTTACAGTTGCTCCATGTTTAACTTGTAATGGTTTCCTTTTTGAGAAGCAAACAGATTCTGGAATACCATCCTCAGATGCTGCAGGAATATCTTCGAGGTGGAGAACAGACTAGCTTCCTGTACCCCAGGTGCGATTTTTATTAGCTCTTCCTTGTCAACAAAACTCCATGTAGTCCTTGATTTAAGCTGAGTTAATGATTGGGCATCTTAATACCTGCAAAATCATCAATTTTTTGTGAATCATCAACTGAGATGCAGCTTAGATGTCTCTGTTTAAGTGAATCAAATGCTGATTAATTTTGAATCTACACATGAAACAATTACTAAGTTGAGCTGCAAGTTGTAACTTAACACCTTTTGTGGAGGGGAAGGGTTAAACTAAGCTATTCTAGACTGAAACCTGAATAAACATGTAACTGTTAATATATTGAGCAATATAATCTGGATATTGCAATCAACTATAGATTTTACATTTGGCAGTAATCGTGCAAGTAATATGCAGTGATCAATGTCATTTTATTGTTATTGTGGGGATCTTTGATCACATTGTTACATGAGTGTTCGTCATGATTTGCATTAGGTTTGCTGTTAAATAGATATTGGATTGGATTAGTGTGCACCATACATTGGGGGTTTGAACAAATTAGAAAGAACAATTTGGTGAAGTGATGATAATCTCGATGTTAAATGGAGACATTTGTCTTTGCAAGAACTAATACTCAGAATGAAACCCACAAAGTTATGGTATTATTTGAGGAGGTGACAGTGATCTTGATGTCAAGGATCCAGTTATATCTTTTGCCTTGAAGATCTTCCTGAGCTATAATTTGAGGAATTGATCTTAATGTTTCAAGCAGCTAATTTGATGTGGATTTGGTATTATCTCATACTTGGACGAAGATCTTGAAAATATAAAATACTTTGGTGCAAGGTATTATGTGACACTTGTTTTCCTTGTGAAGATTTGCATGCGGAGTCTGATTTCCAATTTTGTGTGCCTCTTTGAGGTCTATGCCAGCTGTATTGACTGGTTTCTCCCGTTCTGAGTTTATTTTCTGGAATCTTTATCTATGTTAACAGTTGTCAGATAGCTTTGGGGGATGGATACTAATACTGGGTATGTGACACATTAAAGATATTCCAAATACATCTAATTTTGTAAAAAAAACGATGCCAAACACATCAATTTTTTGCCAGAATCTTCATATTTGCAATTTTTTAGATTGTTTTAATGTTATGGTATTTGAACCAACCTTCTAGACTACAGAAGCTTTAATATACGTATAAGTGGTTCTTTGTTAAGTAACTTTAGCACAACAGGATTCAGATTTTTCTAGGCTTTGTAAGTTCAGTTTGTTTCTCCAAGGACCTAACTATCATGAGATTTGTTTGCGTGTGGCAAGTTCTTCCTATTAATCATCAGAAATCTGAAAAATCCAAATTCAAGCTTTACAGACTGTCACAGCTTGCTCTGTAATGTATTAGTACCCTTTTAAGTGGCTGTAGTAGGACAGTTTTTGGTTGACTTTCTCTGCCAACCTCAGATATAGGTGTATGTATTGACACTTGCATGTGGTACCTACATGTCATATTTAATGATAAATTTGCAAAAGCTTAAGTTGTCTGAAACAAAATGCACTCAAATGAATTCTTTATTTATTTTTATTCATCATGATAAGATATCAGAAAATATAAAAAACCAACTCTCACATACAAATTGGTATTTTTTTAAAACAAAAACAGTAAACTACTTCATTAGCTTCCCCTCATGAGGCCAAACAGGTCTGAGTAGAAAAAACTGTTAAAATCCACTCCCCAGGAGTGAGCCGACTCATGAAGGTGACCAAAAGTAGCTACATTATGACCTACAACATTCACACATTCCTTCTAATATAACAGTTTCAAACTTTTCCTAATCAACAGATATCTGCTAGCATATACTGCAGGTTCCAAGGAACAAAATTAGCTCCTTGCAAACAGTTCGACTACCTGCAAAATTAGTCAATCCTGATGAGCACACGTTTCCATCCCCTCTCTCTTCACTAATCCTTCTAATTTCGCCATGCATCACACTTGCTTGGAGTTGTCCACATTGCATCTAGCACACCCAACAGCCATAATTTCCCCTCTCCTGTCCTTTGCAACATATCCCACACCTGCAAGAGAAGAGAATTGACTAAATGATCCATCACAGTCAATAGTGTACTCACCGTCATCCTCATCCAGAATACTTGGAGCATTTGTTCCTCTGGGATTGCCCTTAGATATATCCTTATTACCACAGTAGTCATTAGTACGGGCCACACCTCTACACCAAAGGGAGGAGGGGCAGCTCAGGTGGTTGCAGAAGAGCGAGTCACTCCTGTTAAGCCGAAGCATCCAGATGGAGTTGGCTATAAGGCTGTGCAACTGCCAAGCTTTCTTCTTCCTGAGTTCACTGACCTCTTCTCTACCAAATCTGAGTGTCTTTAGCCTTGTGGCATTCAAACAACAGCATGGGTTTGATTGAGTTTTGATTCAACTTCCAAACAGGCAAACACAATTGGAAAGTGATAAATCTTGGAAAACCATTCAGAAGATGACAGCCTATTCCAAAAAAGCTTCCAAACAAATAATTTGACCAGAGGAGGAAAACTCAGTTTCTATAGTGGCTTCCAACTTGGCCATCCCTCTTTCCTCGTGACCCTTCTGTTTCACATAATGGTAGACACTACTAGTTGAGGGTGGAACATCACATTCAACAGTTCATTCTATTGTTGTCCTTCAATAAATCAGCCACCCTGTTGAGCCTCATCATTTCATCCACATTGACATAGGTAGGTCACGTGTCTTTGGGGATACTGGAAACCCATGGGTCCTTCCAAGTGGTAGTAGAGTGACCATGGCTAAGAAACTTCCTAAGACCCTCTCTGGGACTCAATAATATTAAGCAGGTTCCTTTTGGCCCAAGGCCCTTTACCCTTGTGATAAGTATTGCAAGGATGCATCTTCCAAATCTAGAAATGAGGACCTGAATCCAAAGTTTCTTCTCATTGTTAATGGCAGGAATTAACCTTTTAACACATATAGCTAGTCTTAAGGTCCCTTAACCCCAACCCTCCCAAGTTCTTAGGGGTGGTGAATCTTTCCCAACTAATCAAATTATCCTTTTTATACATTCATATTAAGACAAGTCATTTCCACTGACATGCCAATTGTTTTTTATAATTTCAATATGCGATAACAGGTAATTTAATTCATCTTTGATTCCTCTGTTTTAATTGACATGTTTAAGAATCACTTTGATTTGCTGACAGCTTACATTTTGTGAATATCCAATGAACAGTGGAGTTGACCGTTTTAAGAGACAATTTGCACATCTTGAAGAGCACTATGGCAAGGGTGAAAGAAGTACACCTCTACAGCGGCAGCATGCATCTTTGCCTAGGTAATTTTGATGAGTTTATTCCGTTATTTATTGCATGGATATTAACTGACTTACTGGTCAAATGTGCTAACCTATGTTGGCTGTTTCTATATATAGCAAAATGGTGCACCCAGATTTGATTTGTATCTTAGTTTGTGAACATGTATCTTATCACTTGTGACAGGGAGAGGGTCTGTGCAACAAAAGTTGAAACCGGAGACCAGAATAATGATTGTGAGATTAGGACTTCAGAATCTGTTGCTAGAACTACTTTACAAAGCCCTCTAAGGTTGCAGCAGGGAGTATCAGACCATGTATCAGCCACAGAAAATGGTTCAATCAAACCAAATAGCAGCACTCGTAGCTTGCTGAAGAGCGCTAGTATTAGTGCATCCAAATGCATAGTCGCCAATGGAAATAGGGACACAGAGGTAAGTGGGTAAAAAAATAACAACTTTGGTTTTTCTAATTTATAACGTTTTGACGGATATTGATTTTTCATAGAGTTCTGATTAAAAACACATCATGTCAATTGGTGATTCATGTATTTTTAAGCAATAATTGCTGGACTCACATTTTTATTAAATGGATCCAAAATAAAGTATTTCCTCTGCCTATTAATGCATTGAAAATTAAACCACAGGTTTGTATTTTATAGTTGAACAGAAACAATTATTGGATAAGCAAAATAAGCCTATTTATGATATGGTCAATGTAACTTATGTCAACTAATAGTTCTCCATCTTGATTAATAATGTGCCTAAGTTGGGTTACGTTGCCAACTCAAATTCACTGACACTATTAATTTGGATTCCTGGAATATTTTGGTTTTACATGACTTTTTGGACGTATTTCTAGATTGACTTTGAAGTGTTGCTGATATATTTTTTGCCCTAAGCAATGTCCCTGAGAGGCTATCAGGAGAAAAAATCTGTTTGCCAGGAAATAGTTGCAAGTACTGATATTTTCTTGTGTTTGGTGTTACAGGAAGAACCAATTCCTAAGCATACAGACGAGACAGTTGATGGGTTGTCTAACAAGGTCGAGGAACTGCATGCCTAATGCCATGAATGCTCAAAGTTGATTACAGCCGCTAACGCATCTGTCCCAAGGGTGCTACAAAATTCACATGCCCGATTGCTGCCTTGAGGTGACTGGAACTTGATCAGGTTTTCCGCCAAGCAATATTTGAAGATGCCAGACGCATCTATTTGATTCTGTGTTGTAACGTATTAATTAGCATGGTTCTGTGTTCGTTACTTAATGCCTGCTTTGTGGGTAATATCTGTCAGGTTATTTTTTCTGTCGTCGATACCGTCCACAGAGCTTCTCTTTGAAGGGAGAACCGCCCTCCTATAACTGTATCAGTAATTATTATATCTCACTTGACACTAAAAAAACTAGTCATTCTACAATTTGTTAGACTGGACATGGAGATCTTTTTGTCATTTCCAATATGCTATTGTCTTGTATCTATTTCCGTTTCTTGTTTTAGTCATATGCAACAGTTGCTTGGTTTCTTTACTTTTTCATATATATATATATATATATATATATATACACGTTGAATCCGTTACCAACATTATTGGGAACTATTTCAGATTGGCTGTAGAAGTAAAATATGTTCCCTTGCCACAAAGTTGGAACAAATCCCCTCCCCTTGTACGATGAAAAATTACTGTGGGTCCCGCTGGATCCTCCTGTTCTACCAATCGCATGGGCGGTATGGAAGTCAAGGCAACCGTCGATGATCCCACGGGCTCCTCTTGCTGGAATTAATCATGACCGTCCAGGAAGCACGCATCTTTACGGTTTGTGCCCATACTAGAGGGTTCCCACGATCCCTCCGTCCACCGCAGCTCGACTCCGCACTCCGAATGTGGCGGCAATACACTTCCGAGGTGACAACTCCCCGTGGTCTTCCTCCGTCCGATCTCTATTCTTCCTTCCCCTTCTAATCTTCCTTTCTTTTCCCTCGCAGAAGAGAAAGAAAATGGGGGATAAAGATTCCGATCAGAGCCTCTCAGGTACTCGTATATTCATCTCACCCCACCCCCGACAATGGATCCTCGTCGCTCACAGCCCCCTATTCTTCATGTCTTTTTCTTATGATTCCGATGACTTTCTGCCTATTTCATTGATTAGATGAAGACGAGTCGGATAAGGTCGCCTACGACCTCGACTGCTCCACCAGTCGCCAATCCCTCTACCATTCGCATCGGGTGAAGGTAACTCCCTGTCGTTTGATATTAAACAAGTTTCAAGTTAGGCTGACAAATGCCTCATCGACTTTTCTGCTTGAAGTATTTCTCATGTAGAACTGTTCCTTGCATCTCCGGAACCTATTTCTTTAGGGTTGTAGAAACGGCTTGTTGAGTTTTCTTGCAATCAATTGTTTCTCTAGCTTTTGTTGTAGGAGAGAACCTGCTAAGAATCAATGATAAGTAATGGCCAGCGGAGGTATATATTGTTGAGTGAAGGAACCTCCATATGTCAATTTGTTTGTCTTAATTTTCTGTGGTGATAGGACATCAAAGTCGGTATTTGTTTCTACCAAGCATGCCACTGGTTCACATGTTTGACACTATAGTCCTAATACTTGGACACTTGTTGTCTCTGTCATGCACATTTCTGATGTAGTAATGATTGAAGAGTATCCTTGTAAGTGAGATCCAAAAGATTTATGTATGTGATAGACAGGATTTCTGTATAGCTGCTAAAAAACCAAAAGTACATGGCAAATACCGCAGGTTCAGTTTTGAAACATTCAGCGAATAAAGCTTTCCTTGTTGGCTTCATACTGCTCAGAAATGTTGTAAATCACAATAATACCCTATGAAGACTATCACATTTGCATTTCAAGAATGTGGCAAAAGATTTGCTTCATCAGGTTGTCATCTTTTGACGATTTCTGTCGTGCACTCAGGTTGCACTAGTTGGGTGACAAGCTTTTTCTTCTTTCTCATCAAGTACTTTTTGTCATAATTATGTTTCATCCACAGTAACTGTGTGACCTAGATGGCATATCTTTTTCCTTTTGCGGTTTTAGTCCAAATAATGCATGTCAACAAGATAACAATTATGGCATTTGATATATAAGAAAGTTGAAAACCAATTTTTTGTTGTTTGTCTTAAACTTGTTTATGGACTGAATGTTTGTGGGGAAAAAAGGATTTAGCTACATATTTGTAGGTTTTGTTATTCGTATACTACATTTTTAGTAATGTTAGTTTGCTCTAACCATAGTTTCATCGATGTGCTTATCTTTTTGTTGAATCTAAGGATTTTCTCATCAAAAACACTACCATTATGTTTTTGGTTTTTTGGCACTGATATAGTTTATGCCTTAGTTGCCATAATCTTTAAAAATCATAATATGTTAGCTTTAAATTATTTTTATTCTGTACTCCTTTAAAGAGTTTTAAGAGGAATTAATAGAATGTTTTTGCCCATTGCATAGGAACATTTACACTTAATTATGCAGCATGCTTCTTGGTGAGACTGTGCCTTTAGAGCTGCCTCCAAATTCTAAGATAAAGTGGCCACAACTTTTCATTCCCTGGTTGATGAAATCATTATGTTGAAGAATATAAAATATAATTGCCTTGATCTATCCTGTTGTTTATCAGCTTCATATGAAATAAGTGCAGTAATCACTATGATCTATTATCCCTTTGACATGCAAAAGTGAGATAAGCCACTAAAATTTTTCTCTAAGAGTGGCTTCAAGGTGCTACTGATTTAACTGAACTGATAAATCCTCTTTGTCAAGTGACACATGATACTATTGATCAAGGTTTGCCGTACCGGACTGTACCGCCCGGTACGGGCGGTACGTACCGGTCCGCCCGTACCGAGCACTGTAGCAGTGCTACAGTGCTCGGTACACCTGGGTGTACCGAGCGGTATACCGTACCGGTACCGAGCCCGGGTCGAAACGCCGGTACGGTACGGTACGGCGAACCTTGCTATTGATTATCTTTCACTTCACATGAACCAACACTCAGGATCTCATATGAACATTCTGTGATGCAATTGCTTTTTCCAGAAGTTGGAGCTTTGCTCATCTAAGTTTGAGAAAGAAAGTCACGGGGTCCATCATGATGACCATGAGTCCTTGGAATCACATCCAAGAGGAAAGCATCACACTGATTCTAGCTGTGAATCTATTTCTGATGAGGTAGAGCCAGAGCTGTCACTCCAACATCATCTGTGTGATATAATATGGGGTTCAATTCCCAATTTTTGGAATCTGAGTTTCAAAAATAGCACTTTTATATCAAAAGTTCACTTTCCTACTGGATATCATATATGTGATATGTTGACAGCACTGGACATGTTACTGTGACTATTTCTGCTTTTTATTGAATTACCTTACCTCAATTTTCTTTTTAATCTTTCAACATTTTTTACTTAAAATTGGATTTTGATATTGGATTACCTTAAAATGTTTTTTAAGAATATGGTTTCTTCATTCTCTTAATTCAATTTTTTTTTTTCAGGATGACATGGCACCAACAAAGTTATCAGTTGCCTCTGCTGCTTACAAATTTCAAAGAGGCCCTTTTCATTCTGCAAACAACAATCACAAGGGAGAGTGCACATGTTCTGCAATTAACAAGGAAGCAAATGAGTTAAATTGTTTATGTAAGAAAGCGTGCAGTTCCTCATTCATCAGTCATTTCTCTGAAGCAAAGAAAAGTTATAAAAGTACGTACGTCCTTTCCTTTGATAAACTTAGGTGTCTCATTTTTCTTCAATTATTAAATGTTCCAAACAAATATATCATTTTGAATGTCTAAAAAGATTTCCTTGGAGTGATATTTCAATACAAAGGCAAAGAGTGATATTTCCTTGGAGTGTATTTGTTTCATTAGATTTAATAGGCTTCTTGACTAAAATTTAGTAGCTATTGTATACAAGATAACTTGATGTTACATTTTGTATAATTGCTCCCTGTAGTATAACTTAATTCTCCCCTTCTGTAGGATTTCTTTATTGGCATGTGGATTTGGTAGGCCATACTAAATAAGATACATCTTCCTATCATTTAACTAGCATTATATGTTTTGAGACAATTTATCTGAATCTCACTTAGCTAGAAATTTTGTGTAATTTAAGAGAGACTGCACCACGTTTACAACCAGTTCTATTATTCAAATTTGTTCTCCATGTGGGCTTCAAATTTTTGGCTTTTGCACTATAGTGTGCCCAACTATAATGGGAATGACTTGATAATATTGATTAGGCCCGGGCTCTGTTGATTTTCTAAAAAGAGGCAGGTTAGCTGAAAGTGTCCAGTGTGTTCTCTATTTCAAGCAAACCAGCTCACTCATATTTTAGACATAGTAGCAATACACCTGAGTTCCTTTCTAAGCTAAACTGTATACCGTATTCTCGAGAACCTTCTTATGTGCTTTATGCATTTAAAGCCAAAAACATAGGATGTCGATTGCATGTCAGGGTCTCCTTGGAGATTGATTCCAGAACCCACTTCCAGGTCTTTCTTACCTTTTTTGTTTGGTGAGGAATATGCCTGCATTTATACCAAGAACCACCTCTGGTAATTATGAAGTTTCTATGGTAGTTATATCTTGAAATAGGTTAGAGGAATTACCTATTACTAATTTTCAATTTGATGGTTGAGGGTGTGATATGCAGAATTTACCAGTTTATAGTGTTCTTTCCTTGTGCAGCTGCTGAATAAACACTCAACTTAATTTTTATTGTAGGTGGTAGGAGCAGAGACAAGCCTAAGTTTTCCATTCGAGCACAATTACACTCAGCAGAACTTCCCTCATTTTGTTCAATGGACATAAATGAAGAATCTTCTCAGGAGGGATCTGAAAGCTTCAAAGAGCATAATGATCATGACAGTAGAATCTTAGAGGATTCAAAGGCTGAGCTGTTGAGTTATATAGAGGAAGACAACCAAGATTTGCCTGTCAAGTCAGTAACTCATGAATTAGCTTGTGCATTGCCTTTGATGGCTGAACTGCTGGAAGGTTTGGAGGGGAAGAATGGACTAACTGCTGGGACTCCATACTTGGTCTGCATCCTTCACATGCTTGGTTTTCTGACAATCTTTTTTAATAATTCTAAAATCAGCTTTTGGTTCAATCCTTGCTCCAGAATTCCAGATCAAAAAAAAGAAAGAAACATTATTCTGGGGGGAAACAAGCTGCTCAGTTGGGTTCTAGAATTCTTGATAATGAAGATTCCCTTGAATTTATGGGAGCTGGAACATCCAGCGAGGATGAGGTACATGTTTGATTGGTTAGTTCTTGTCATTATTAAATAATATATTGTTTTTGCTACTTTCTTTCTTGTCTAGGACCACAATCAGAACCGCTTAACTCCTGCAATAGAAGATATCAAACAACAGACAATGGGAGATCTATTTCAGGAAACTTTTAATATATCAGTTGGTAGCCCTTCATTATCCAATAATAGGAATGCAGTGTAAGCATATTTATGCAGTTTATTTGGTTATGTTTGGTCAAAGTCTGATGTTGAAACAAAAAAATCTTTTAGTTATCCTGGTTCTGACCATCTTTGACAGATCTGGGTATTTTGGGAGATTGCAGCAAGTTATGCAGATTGAGAGGGATAGACATTTCGAATTCTTAAAGCAGTCACAGACAGGAGGGAAGAGCCCTCTAAGTAAGAAATATTAAATTATTTTGACTACCTATTTTTTTCATTATATATAAAAATGCTCATTTAAAGATGAGAATATGGCAATAACATCAGCTATTCAACTATCATCATTTTGTCTTTTCCTAAATTTTGCTTCATGCTGTGCATTATGATTCAGTTATAAAAATTGGTAACCATCTTTCCAGATGATTTAAGGTGCATAACAGTACAGATTTTGTCAAGAATTTTGGAGGCAAAGCTGACAGTTTGTCATTGCTTGCTTGCTGAAAGCACCAAGGTTTGGATCCTTTTTCCTGCATCTTTGTTCTTCTACACTTCCAACTTCTGTTATTATTGTTATTACCATATTTGATCCTGATGAATTTGGATACATTCAGTTTCCATGCACCATTACAATGTTGAAGAGCCAATGTTTTACTTTGTCCAGAAAAATACCTCGCAAATCGACAGCTACGTTTCATTTTCTATGTAAAAAGTTTTGGAGGCAAAACAATATACTATATCATATTCTTAAAACCAATGTCAATAGTTCATTACCGCTAAGGTGTAGGATGTGCTTGAGGCATGATCAAGCAAGATTTCTGGAAAATTGTTTATCTGTTTAGAAATAGTCTTTAATTTGTCCACGTGGCAAGAGAACGACAATGACTTTCTTAGGTTCAAGGCAAATCTCCTTTGCAATTGTGTTCTTCTTAGTTGCTTCTTGTTACACTATATATCATCCATCTTCGCATGTTCCTCGTTTATTTTTTCTCATCTCCATAAAAAGATTTAAGTTAATTGTGCCAGGCAAAATACCACCCAGTTTTACCAATGGCTAGCAACTGAAACATACTTGAATAATTTTTTATGATGAAAAGGTCGCCGTGTAATGGTAACTGAGAGGTTTTTAAAACCTTCTTTGAAGGTTTAATACATGGGTCCCGTTTTTTTTGCCTTTCCTTCTTTGTTCATTCCTAATAAGTATATAAATTTGGTAATCTGACTGACTCTTCCAAACAACCACAAATATCCATCAGCCTTATTTCTTATTGATTTTGTGCAATTTATCCAATGTCTCAATTTCTATTTTCTTATAGATTTGTTCTGATCATCTGATGTTCTTTTGTTACTCCTGAAATAATTAATTTGCTAAATTGTCTAGGCCCTGGCTATAGACAGTTAATTTCAGGTGAGGAAATATTCACTGAACTCCTGCTGATATCTTGATGCCTTATTTCTTAAATTTGGTAGCTTTCTTGTCAGACTATGCTGTTCCTAGGTTCTTATTCTTTTCTGTAAGGTCATGAAAGATTATGGCTCTGTAGGATCATTTTGTTGGGGTTCTACAAATCCCTTGTCACCACACTTATTGTTGAAAATTTTTAACTTAGTGTCGATAAAAATATCTATCATGCGAAGTAACCATTGTTATCTAAAACTTTTCAATCTCCTCGATGAATTTTGATCTTGGAATTGAATCATACCCCTTTAGTCATTTGGAAAATCTAAAAGAGAATTTTGTTAATCAGGATCTTCATTAATTGCCAGGAACCAAGCTCCCAAGGAAGTCAGCTTTTCGTTTACAATTTTTGAAGTGTTTAATCATGTGACTACAATGCATTTACCCCTGCAAAGAAAAGAAATGGAAAATTAATAATAGCTAGTGTGATTCTATTCTTATGGGAGACTATCGGTGTCTGTTCAAAACAGGTTAATCGGAACGGCTTAGGCTGCAGTAAACATGCAGTGATTGTTTCTTTGTTGACTAGGATGTTGGCGTATTATAAATCTCCGTGGCGATTGACAGCATGACTTTAATTTGCTTAAGTGAAATCTGATGTTGAGTGAAGACAAAATAATTCCTCTCTGTTCTTTTGGCCAGAAACACTGACAAGTAGGTTTACTTTACAACTTGGTGGATTCTTTTGTTTAGGGATGACAATGGTTAGAGTATTCGGATGGCATCCATTGTCCAAATCTATTCTGAGACAGCTGTGACAAAATAATTCCGCTGTCATCCCTAGTTTCGTCCGTCCTTTTTATTTATAGCATCTCTTATGTATCAAATTATATATCATGCGTAGACAGCTGTGATATGTACATACAATATTTTATCCTGTATGGTATGTTATATAATATTTTGTTGCAGAGCCAGCAGGGTGAGAATGACTCTCCAAAATGTCATAAAGAGGGAACTCTGAGGACAGTTATTTTCAGTTCAAGAATTTGTGGGAGCGTGGAACTTGAAGTTGGTGGCTTTGTTCGTATACACCCACCGTGGTATGAGATCTATCTTGGCGTTTCTGACACATTGATGATATTAGAAATTTCTTTTTAGACAGTCCATAAACACTGCTTAGCTTTTGTAAATATTACATTTTGATCTGTAAAACATGGAGAGAGAGAGAGAGAGAGACATAAACGTAGTTTCTGTTAAACAGGAAAGAGATCCTAATCGCCAAAGAAGAGAAGATCTTATTGTGCAGTTATTTCTCGACATGATTGCCAGCTACCGAAACACAGATTTTTGGGACAAGATGCGGCGGAGGAAACAAATGTCAGTGTGCAAGCTTTTCCTCGTAAAGTGAGTAACTACCTATAGAACTACTAATCTACCTTTGATTTGTATATGCATTACATGGGTTCTCATTTGGATTTGGACGAAGAGGAAGTCTCCTGTCAAGCCATCCATTCATCGCGTCTTGCATTCCATTTCAGAAAAGAAAAATAAAAAGGAGAGAAAATTGTCCTAAAGTATCGTTTCCAACATTTGGTACAGCCAATCGTCAAAAAAAAAAAAAGAAAAAAAAAAAGGGGCCCTGCTTACGTTTATTACATGGGCGTACAAAATGCTCCAAACACGGGATGTGACGGCTGCCCACCGAACAAACTATTCCGAGGCCACCATCAAAAGGCATCAGATTCTTGAGCACATCAAACTGGAAGGAATCGCCACCTAATTAAAGCTACTCGCCAACTCAGACGATGCTGCAAGCATTGGGATTCTCCTCGCTAAATATGGTGGTGAGGCGATGCTCGTCGGTGGCAATGCGGTAAATTCCTTCACGTATAGGGGTAGGATAGTAGTGGTATTCACCGCCAAAGTACTCCCTCCGCTGCTCGCCGTCCTCCCATCTCGGCGGCAACGGCGACGTCATGTACCGGTAACCGGACCCGTGGGGCGGAACCAGCTCATGCAAGTCCGGGCCGGACCGGGGCCCGACATCAAACCGGACATGGACGGATTCTTTGGGCGTGCGGGACGGGATAGGACCATGATGAGGGACCTCGTCCGGGTGGTCTGGTCCAGGGGCGAACCGGACCCGGCGTTGTTCCTCGGGCTGAGTTGATGGAGGAGGAGGAATCACAGCCTCAGAGTGGTGCTTTGAGACTCTGGATTCTGATGGCATGATAACCACGGCAGGGCTGTCGTCGGTCCAGGTCACGTGCTTCGCCCGAGATGCGGCATGGGAGTATGTCGGCGGCGATGAGTACACCACGGTGGTGGCTACTCCACGCCTCTTTCTCCCTAGCAACGAAAGTATAGAACACAATAAGGAGAAGAAAGCAATTCGTTGATCCTAATTGCTCACTACAAACATGAATGAGAAGTAAGGTGAAATAATATTTATTAGGAGCCGACTGGGTTGGCATATCCTTTGGATCAAGCAAAGACTAAGTAAGGTCTCATGGGCAGGCACGAGAAAACATAGGAATTGTTGTATTCTCGCTAGGGATTTATTATTACATGGGGGAACTGAACAAAAGGATTTAAATGCTTGTTCGTGGTAGACGTCACACATTTCTGTCACTGGTTCTGCTGGTGTTTCGTCGTATCGGTTATTAACTATATCTTGGACGAAATGAAGAATATATATATATATATAGAGACAGTGGTGTAGTTAGTAATCTCTTGTCAGTGAAAAAAGGATGGCCAATTCTGCAGCATGCGGACGAATGCTAGTTAGTTAGTTGTGGAAGGAACTATGTAGTGCCGTCTCATCTAGCGATTACGGAAGAAACAGCCATTGCTAACGTCTGATTCATTAACTTCATAGAATGCAAACCACAAGAAAAAGAGCAAGAACTAATACCTTTGCACTTCCGGAGTGCTTTGGACACCATCTTGCCTATGGGATAGCAACCCATCTCTCTCTTTCTTTCCTTCTTCTTCTTCTTCTTCTTCTTCTTGTTATTGTTATTGCGCTCTCTCGCTACATCCTCAATTCTTCATCAGATATGGATGATGGGATGACTCTTTAAATGGGTTAATTGCAGGAATCTGATAAGGAAAGAGGGAAAAAGAAAAAAAAAAAAAAGGAATAATGCGCCAGCCAGAATGGACTTTGGTTTCCACCGAATGGAGAGAAAAGAGTGGTCCTCAACTCACAGTCCATTCATCGTCTCAAAATCCAACAGGTAGAACCCTCCTGCATATATTCCGATCCTTGGCCGTCCTCCTAAAGCTCCTTTACATATTCTCTCTCTCTCTCCCGTCCTTTCCCCCACGCCATCTCTTCTGTGTCTGGCAGTGATGGCTGCCATAAGCGAACTTAGATTCGACGCTTAGATCCATATCGATGTACGATCATCGGAGAAGAAAACATTATAATAATAATATAGGTAAGTTGGCGTTCGATGTTCCATAATCCACATAACTACAATTGATTTTTTAAACTAAAATCGACATTAATAATATGTGTAAGACCACAAAAGTTGCCTTTGATATGCTTTTGGATGTCATGAAATCTAATGATCTCCTCTCATCTTCTTAGAAGAAGATTAAGATGACATAGAACTTGAAGCCTTAAGAACAAGATAATGACACGCATTAAGCTTTTTATCACTCGATGAACAGGTATAGTTGTCTTGCAGCTTAACTTGTTTCATATACTCGATTAGTTTTTTATCACTCGATGAAATCCGCAATGACACGCATTAAGCTTTTTATCACTCGATGAAATCCGCAATGAGGATTTCCAACTCAATTAGTTTTGTCTCGTTAGATAAATAAGAGGACAGGACAAGGAAGACCTGAACAGGGAGTGGTGGTGAGAGTGGAATTCACCCATTAGTATGGGTCAAGTCATGCACAAAACAGAGACAGGCAAAAACCAAATGAGTTTTTCTAGCTAAATAACATGTTATAAATATATATATATATATATCTTAATAAATAAATAAATAAATATCTTAATTATAAATATATATATATATATATCTTAATTAATTTATAAATATATATGCCTAGTATGATGGATAGCCAATATGAATATATATATATATATATATATATATATATATATATATATATGACTCTTTGGTTCCTACGATCCTTTAGGTGTTCATATGTAATTCAGATATAAGCTAAATCACACGTAGTAGAATGGGGGATTTTTCTTAAACAATAGATTGCAAGCAGTACTATAAGAATGAAAGAAGACACAAGTTGAGGAACAAAAAGGTCGGCATCTCATGAGGAAAGTCCACAGCACAGATGCAGCAATGATTCTTCTCTTCATCAAGCTTCCTGCTTCCTTCCCTCTCATCGCTTCACCTCCTCTGGCTGCTTAATTTCCAGGTATATATCATCTCCCCCCCTACCTGTTGCTGTACATCGAAAGGCGATCTCAAACATCGTGCTGGAACTCATAAACATGCTCGTTCCATGCTTCTAACGATTTCGAGACACGCTCTTGAGGAATGAGCTGCTCTTTGTGATCTCTCGGAGCGGCTTGTCTGTGTATCTAACGAGATTGTAAGTAAAACCCCCAGCCAGAGTACCTATCATTGGTCCTAAAACGTAGGCCCAGATTGCCTTGTAGTTACGCATGACGATGGCGGGTCCGATGCTTCTTGCAGGGTTCATGGACGCTCCTGATATCGGCCTGTAATACATTGTTCATCACATCGAACACCATATGAATGTGAGATGTATATTATGTCCTTTGCATGCGGATTCGATTCAGTAAAACTCTGCACACAAAAAAGGCAGCCGAAGAATAAGATGTTACCCGGCAACGAGGACATTCAACAAAATTGTGGATCCGACAGCAATGCCTGCTAATTCCCCAATCTGCAAGACATGATCGAAAAAGATCAGGAGGAATCGAGATAAGACAGAGGAAAACATACGCTTACAGCTCTGGTGTCTGTGGCCACGCCAGAGATGACGAACATCAGGAGGAAAGATATGATGATCTCGAGGACGAAGGACTGCACGGCTGATCCAACCGGCGTAGTTCCGTAGAAGTGCTCTGCTTTTGGATCGAACAACAAGTACACCGCCCCACTTGCGAGGATGGCTCCTACCAACTGAGCTACCATGTAAAGAGGCAGCTGCATGCATACAAATCCTCAGTCAAACAAAGGAAAGAGATGAGAAAAACTCGAGGAGATGGGAGAAGACCTGCTTGAGAGGGAACTGCTTGAGAATGGTGAACGTGGTGGTGACCGCAGGATTAAAATGAGCACCGGAGATGTGGCCGACAGAGTAGACCATCACCATCACTACCAGACCCCATGTGATGCATATTCCTGGGAACGTCACCGATCCATACATTTTGTTCACCACCACCGACCCACATCCTGCGAACACCACAAAGAACGTCCCGATGGCCTCTGCCAATAGCTGTCATTGCACCAGAGCCATCGGCCAGTGATTTCTGGGAGTACAGGAGGAATCAGCAAAGGGAAAACGACGACGGTGAGAGACACACCTTCTGAGCAACGTTCACCATGGCAGCAGAGCAGAGGCCGGAGTCGTGCGTGGTGACTTCTTCCACCTTGGTAATCTCTTCGTCGACCGAACACATGGCATCAGGGGTTTCAGGACTCTGCTTCTGTGGAGGGAGTATATGGTGGGGTGAGAGGGAAGGCTGAAAATGGATTGCCAGGTAGTGTGGTGATGGAGATGAATGATGCGCAGAATTTATAGGAGTCTTGAGGCGACGGGATAGATAGATTGAGTCTCTAAGGATAACCATTAGAGGTGTGGTTGGCCATGTGTTGGCGGAGTCCTCAAAAGTAGGGGGGGCTAAGAGGATACGATGCATGGCGAAGCGGCGAGGAGGAAGGCAGGTGGAGAGGCTGTGCTTTGTGTCAGCCATCAAACGCACTGATTGTTTTGTGGTTAATGTTGCTGAAGTAAACCCAAAATGGAGACAAATCTGGTTTCTGTGCTTTTGTTCGGTGGCCCCCCTTTTTTTTTAATAATCGATTGATGAGTCAGCTTAGTTGGTCCATTGTCGTAGGTGTAGACTCATTTAGGTATCTTTTCCTGATTAATATGAGAGACTTGAAGGGGTGAGATCACATAGGCTACTTGGTTGGAAGTCGTTCTGTAGGTGAAGACCTAATTTGGGATGGTGGGTAGGCAGACTGGGTTCTTCCTAGTTGCAAGGTTCCTCCTCGGGGTCTGAGTCGTCTGGGTGTCTTCGGATGGTCGGTGATCCTACATGATAGGTCGGGTTGCCCGATGCAACCCCTCTGATGCTTAAGTCAATGAAGGGGAAAAGATAGTAGTGCAAGCTATATGATTGAATTAGTGTGTAGAGAGCCCCCCCTCAATGTGAGCTGATGAGTTTCTTTTTATACTTGATCCATAATCCTTCTTACTAGTTGACTTGGGATAAGATCAGGTTAATCGCTTGATCATTATGGTCTCTGATCTTGATAAGATGGAGCGATTATTATGAGTCATTGATGCGGGATGCATTGGGACGCATTGAAACGTCATTTTGGGGTCGATGACTTGGAGCCTAGCTTGGGTGTTGGCCTATATGGCAGATGAGTAAACACGTGACAAAATTATCCTTATCACCATCATAATTTTTTCCCTCGCAACTATGTATATCTTGAAAACCATGGATATCACTCTTCGTTTTGTGCATCCCTACACATGTAACATTTCAAACCCTTTGAGGTCTTTATTGTATTTCCTTCCATTTTATATAACTCTTAATGTAATCTTTCTTTCGTCAGAATCATGCAATTCGGAGTAACTTTTAGAACTTCACTTTCAGCCTTATAGTCATAATCTCGAGAATAAAAAAGGCTAAATAAAAAAAAAGATTCTTACATATCTTTTGAACATAAGTCACCTCCTTCAAAATATATATATCATACTTTACCAACATTCATGATTTGAATCATACAGTTATCGTCTAGACTCAATTTACTAGTTATCTTATCATTTAGTGATTAAAAATGATCATTTTAAGAGCAAGTATGAGTAATATATGCAAAATATGAAAATCAATTTTTTTGAAAAGATATATCATTATCCATTATGAGGACATATCTATCGCCATCTATTATAAGATAGCACTCACCAGCATTTTCTTTCTATTTTCTTTCTTACGAGTCGTTTGGGTGTCTTCGGGCGATCGGTGATCCTACCTATATGACAGGTTAGAGCTAGGGGTTACCTGATGCAACCCCTTTGATGCTTAAGTCAATGAAGGCGAGAAGATAGTAGTGCAAGCTATATGATTGAATTAATGTATAGAGAGCCCCCCTCAATGTGAGCTGATGAGTTTCTTTTTATATTTGATCCATAATCCTTCTTACTAACTAACTTAGGATAATATGATCTTGATAAGATGCGACGATTATTATGAGTCATTGATGTAGGATGCATTGAGACACATTGAAACGTCATTTTAGGGCTGATGACTTAGAGCCTTGCTTAGGTGTTAGCCTATGTGGCAGATGAGCTAGTATATGACAAAATTATCCTTGTCACCATCATAATTTTTTCCCTCACAACTATATACATCTTGAAAACCATGAATATCATCCTTCGTTTTGTGCATCCCTACACATGTAACATTTCAAACCCTTTGAAGTTTTTACTGTATTTCCTCCCATTTTGTATAACCCTTAATGTAATCTTTCTTTAGTTAGAATCATGCAATGTTGAGTAACTTTTAGAACTCAGCTTTCAACCTTATAGTCATTGATAGAAATAATAGAAGATAAAGAACAATAATTGAAGAAGCTTTATTGTAGAAATGAAATAGCTTTAGCTTGAATCTATTAACAGAATAGAGGATTTTCCTCAACAAAATGAGAAACTTCCTCATATAGTTAGGAAAATCTTATCTTCTATCAGTCATAACCTTGAATGGAAAAGATTAAAAAAAAAATAATTCTTACATATCTTTTGAACATAAGTCACATCCTTCAAAATATATATATCACTCTATCAATCATTTTGATCTTTACTTTACCAACATTCATGACCTAAATCATGGAGTCATCGTCTAGATTCAATTTACTAATTATCTTATTATTTAATGATTAAAAATAATTATTTTAAGAGCAAGTTTGAGTAATATAAGTAAAATCTGAAAATCAACTCTTTGGAAAAATATATCATTATCGATTATGAGAACATATCTATCGCCATCTATTATAAGATAGCACTCGCCGGCCTTTTCTTTCTATTTTTTTTTCTTATATAATTCTACTTGAAATGTTTATACTCTTTATATCTATAGCACTAAACATCATTCAAATATTTAATTCTTGATCTTGATCTCTCATGCTATGATCCATCCCTGTCAAAAAAATCTTCCTCATCGACTTTCATCCTGCAGCTAATGGCTTGTCATATATATACTCATATTTATTCTTTTTCCTAGTAGCATGAGATATAAAGCTTCTCCAACTTATTTTAGAGTTACTTTATCCTTCCCACTATATCATCTCTACAAAGTTATTATAAGAGTCAACAAACAATGTAAGAAGCAATAACGTATTATCTTCTTCATCAATCTTCGTATTATATTTTTTCAATTGATCTAATATTTCTTTGAATATGAACTGATGTTCTACCAAGTCTCTGCCTTCCTCCATTCTAAATTTATAAAACTTCCGTTTCAGATACATCTTGTCTTGTTAGTTAAGTTTTTAGCTAAATAAATTTTTTTTCTCACATAAACCTGAAAAAAAATATTATGGTAAAGACCTTAGAGATCACTTTCAGAGTACCAAAAAAAGGTGTTACATTTTCATATTCATCAAAACCTTGAAACTCAATATATATTTATTGACACGAAGCTTAATTTATTAAGAAGTTAGAATTTAATTAAAACTCTCTCAATTAATTCGAATACAATTACAACTCCTAAAAATACTAATACACATTTCGAGTTCATATGGATGCCCTCTGTTGTAAATGTCTCAAGCTCATCTCCATGCTGATCTGCACCATCTCAGCCAACATCTTCTTTGCCTTCCTTGTCTGATCAGCGCTATCAATTTTGGAGACGATGCTACAAACACTGCTATCAATAGTGTCTGCTGGTAGCTCAGACTTGTGATGGCGAGAGCTTCGTAGTAGCTGAAGCAGCATACGAGCTTTCACTTGAGACTTGGGAGTTCCCTGAACAGTGAGCTGTAGAAGACCAGGAATGACACCCTCGTTAAGCACAAGTTCTCTATATCTACAGTACTGATCACTCTCGCACATTGTCAGGAGGGTTCCTACGGCATGCTCTCTACTTCGGAGAGACCCTTCTTCGAGTACTTGTATCACCGTCAGCACTCCGCCTTCTGCGTCTGTCAAAGCAGTCCTTCCCTCCTCGAAGTTCACCAGTGATTCCAAGAGGGCGCTGCACTTTTCGGCTGTTCGGGATGACTTTTTGGAGGTCTTCAGCAGATTTATCAAAGACGGAACAGGTTGGAGTGGAAGGATAACCTTCAGGTTTTCTGCGATCGCTGAAAGATTGTAAAGAGCCCTGACAGCATCATTCTTGGCTTGTGGATTCCCATCTCCAAGGATTTTGACAAGGAGGGGGATGGCATCAGAGGCACTGATTCGAGGCTTGTTGATGGGCGAAGCAGAGAGAGTCAGGACAGCTGCAGTGGCATACTCCTGTAAGCTGGAATTTGTGGATTGCAAGAGATGTAGGAGTGATTGGAGTGCGCCAGCTTCCACTATCTTGATTTTGTTCCTGAAACCATAAAACTAATGATGTCAAAATCATCACTCCATGTGTTGGTGCAGAAATCAAACAACACGAGGTTTAATTTCTTCGTCGTAGCACAGGCACATGTAATTCCAGCAAGCCTCCAATAGTAGAGTCATCCGAGAATTTGGACATCAACTCCATTATTGTCCATCACATCAATAAAAGACACAAAAAACGGACATAAAAATCTACAGTCGTCCCGTCATAGAGGGTAGAAAAATTACAAAGGAAAGATAAAGCATGATGAGAAAACAAGAGTTATAAGAACAAGACAAGAAAACTACATGAGACAACCACTAAGAGACAATTACCATACGCTGAATGAAGCTATCTATCTTCCGTCGAAGAATCAAAGTTCGCACCTTTCGTCCCCGACGGCGAGATTCAGGAGGGCGAGGATGGCGGCCTCGCCGGACTCAGGGCCGCCCGACCGGAGCAACGAGACGAGCGGCTCGATGGCGTCGGAGAGCTGCCTCCGGTGCTTAGACGACGTCTTCGTCAGCCGCCGGATCTCCCCCGCTGCCTGGACCCTGCTCTCCTCGTCCTCCAACCGGATCCGCTCCATGATCGCGGACATCTCCGCTGCGGTCTTCTCCCCTTCCGTTCCTCCTCCGACCAGCTCGCCGGCGAGCCCAATATCCGATGACGCCATCCCACTTCTCTGTCCTCTCCTCTTCACGCTTCACAGAGCGGCATGGTGGGGATGGGGGGGCCGGAGGAAGCTTTTATAGTAGAGGACGGTCGTTAGTTGCCCGATAACCATGTTGACGCGTCGCATCTGGTGTCGGTTAGCGATGCTAAGTTTTGACGGCACAGATTGCTCGATCAAGTTTTGATACATTGCTCTTGGGTTGATTCGGAGTTCGACGTGGTGACACGTGGATCTCTGTGGACCATTGGTTGTTCGTCTTCCAGGGTCCCAGCATTTTGAATCCTTTTGTTTGTAGTACAAGAAAAAGATGAGAGTCAAAGAGGCGCATCGCATCCTCGCTTTCTCTCTACAAAGCAACTTAAATCTCTCCCTCCCTACTTTTGCTTTATTTGGATAACCATGAGGGACACATTCGATACATACATATATATACATATATATATACATATATACATGAATATATCTTAAGTTAGGAAAGATGACTACGTCTACAGAATAAAGAAAATAGATAGATAATTCTGTTATGCAAGAGGAATTAATTCAGAAACAATTAGATGTTGGCTTTCTTTTCACTGTAATTTTCTTGTTGCAGCATGGAATCTTGGATTCATGCACATCCTATAGACTACTTTTCTGGAGTACTGATGCTGACGAAGGAGAAGTGTAAATTCTGATGAGAGCGCGCACTCACTCACACATACCACAAATAAAGTCAAAAACAAAAAAAAGAAATAGAAAAAGTGCATAGTCCGGAATTTGGTGGCGGATTGGGGTCCACCAAACGAACCCAACACGTTTGTCACGTATCAGTAGACACGTGTCGGTGATCTCGTGAGGCTCGGATTTAAGGATCACGCAAAAGCTAATAATAATGGCAACGATAAAGTAATATGCAATATAATTGTACGTGTGTGCGCCATTGTTTCGGTCTCTGGACGTAACGCAGCGCATACATATCGTGTCGCCTTTTTGTTTTGTTCTTTATAACCCTTTGGTTCTTCTGTAGCAACTGCTACTAATAGCATTGCTTTGTCCCTTTTCTTCTTTAATAATTGATGGTAATAATGCGTTTTGGTAAGTTGCCAGCGTGGCATGCGACGTGGGTGGGATAACTGTGAAGCAAAGCAACGACCGTGTGTTTCTTAACGGCTAAGCCTATCTTTCTCTCGCTCCCGACAACCGCCATGTCACCGGTTTGACGTGTTTTTTTTTTCTTTTAGAAATAAAAATAAAAATAAAAAACCAAAGAGATTTGTTTTCATCGCTCAAAACTTGACCATTAATATATCATGCTGCAAAGAAACAATGCTATCAAGCTTCATCCTCTTTTGTTAGTCTATTATTTTTTTATCCAAAGGTAATAATAAAACGAAAACAAAAGAGACAATATTAAATTCTCGTTGTTTAGCTCACTTTGGTTCCACGTTGCCGTCGGTGTCAGCATCTCACTACATATTTGTCCGTTCATGTGGTACATGCTGTCGAGAAAGAAGAACCCGAGGGCGTCGTCGGATCCATCCATTACCATGTTATTTTACCAAAAAGAAAACTGAAAGATTCGAGATTTCTTTTGTTTGAGTTGTCTTTTAGTGCTTTCGTGTTGCTCTTTATTTAAAACCTGCAGGTTGTGATCTTTCAACGTTTGAGAGAAAACCCAAATAAAAAGATGGAATTGGAAGAGCAAGCAAATCAAATCTGCTCAAGCCTTGTATCGATTTGCATATGTGAAATGCTGATGAGCAACTCTACATGTTATCACGAATCAAGAAACGCTGCAAATACTACTCGTACATGGGTGGGTGTCTTCAAGACTCCTCCACAAATTTAACTTAGTTGGGTGATAAAAGAATGAATAGGCGGAAGCATGCAGGATGATGAAAAAAAGGCAAGGGCTTACCGAACTCGAAGCTAAGGTGATGGTGCCAATCCATGCATCCATTCTTCTATTCTATCCGAATGCTAATGCTGTGGATATGTGTCGCCGTGCAGATATGAAACGAGACCTCGATCACATCGATCTTAGGTAGTGGGCATATTAAAATACTTCCTAGGACTCCACTTCTCGGATTATTGCTCGCTTTGTAACCACGGCTGGTAATGTGATCGTACCAAACGCGTAGCTCATTGTTTATGCTACTCCTACACTTGAATACAACAGATCAGATTGGATTGGATTGGATGATATCACATATCCTCTTTCACCTGAGTACCCAAAACATCCTCATGTAAGTAAGGTCCCTACACCTGTTATGCCATCTCGGATCATGATAGATTAAGTGTAAGTGTGAGTTATAGCGTATGGATTCTAGAGTCACATAGATTCTAGACTACATATCCAAAACTTGGAACTAGAGAAGAGTAAGACGTATGGATCTAGTCTCACATCATAAGTTGAAAGGATTTCAATATTTTAGATTAGTGATTTAAGATCAACAAGCTAATGACTTAATCATCTTATGGAAGTGGATCAAACACACATATTCCACGAGATTCTTTTATGCAAACCCATAAACTCGGAGTACCATTCAATCCACGGGAATCACGTAGCGAGGTGCATTTCTAGCTGGGGAAGTCAGCATGCTGGTCCTGTCGGAGTAACTTTTGAGAATAGAGGTGTCGTAGACTGCATGCAATCTTTCAGAGACAAATAAATGTCTGATGGATTAATGATGGCTTTTTGGCTTCAGTGTTCCCCAAAATATATAATATTTTAATTATATGTTGGCTACGTAGCGAAGTCAATTAGTGTACATGCAGATCGCAGGGGGAGGCGAAAGGAAGAGGGGTTGCTACTGGAGGTGATGGAAATGGGTCGATCAGGAGAGTGACTTCTGATAGAAATAATAGAAGATAAGAACACTAATTGAAGAAGTTTTATTATAGAAATGAAACAACTTTAGCTTAAATATATTAACATGTTTCCTCTCCTATTTATACAGATTAGGAGGAAGGATTTCCTTCAACAGAATAAACAGAATAGAGAGATTTCCTCATATAATTGGGGAAATCTTATCTTCTATCAAGTTGGGGAAATCTTATCTTCTATTATGCCCCCGCAAGATGGTGCTCCTAATAAGGATACCAATCTTGGATCGATGCAAAGAATGGTTTAAAGCGAGAGGCTTCGTGAGTAGGGCAAGAGCATATCGCTGTTGCTGCTGCGATTGCTGTTGCTGTGAGGGCACAAGCATTCCCTTCATTCTCCTTACATCCGCCCTTCGTTCTCCTTAAGTCCGCCGATTGTTGGCGTTGGCGGATCAGCGAAGACTACCGCGGTGAGAAAGATGAGGATTGGCCGTGGAGCCTTTCAGGAATGTGACTACAGCGACGTTGGTCGCTGGCCGAAGGCAAGGGCGAAGCTTCGCTTTTCTCAGCGGCGTTGGTCGCTGGCCAAAGGCAAGAGCGAAGCTTCGCTTTTCTCAGCGGCGTTGGTCGTGGTTGCGATTACGACGGCTGCGACGGTAGAGAAGAAATCTACAGCAATGTTGCAGTGATGCTACTACAGCAAAGGAGGAAACTGCAACAGAGGAGGAAGTTGTAGCAGAAGAGGAAGGAAAATAGCTACAACGAGGAAGAAAGGTGGGGCAGTGCTGATGAGCAGCACTAGAGATGCCGTAGCGGAAGGGAACGGACGTTGGCGCATAGTGGCAACACCAATGATGAATTGGCAACGAGATGAGAGCTTGCTCTAGGCAAGCGGCTCTGATACCATGATAGAAATAATAGAAGATAAGAACAATAATTGAAGAAGCTTTATTGTAGAAATGAAATAGCTTTAGCTTAAATATATTAACATGTTCCCTCTCCTATTTATACAAATTAGGAGGAAGGATTTTCCTAATCTCTCTATTCTGTTTATTCTGTTGAGGGAAATCCTTCCTCCTAATT